AATTAAAAAATTAACTAATCTTTAGGAAATTTTTTGACTTAAACTTTGAAATACATTCATATACATCATATGATAACTAATATACTATTTAACACATAAAAAGAATACTTTTGACATTAGTCTAAAACTCTATATCCTTTTACAAACAATTTATGGTCTTGCAATGTTGTTTGGAAAAAAGAAAAGACTTAATGGTTTAATGTTTCTTTCCATGGAGTTACTAAGGATGATTATTTTGGGGGATGCTAGAAACAATTGCCCAGTGTTTTGTCCATACTTCTTAATAGCTTTGCCATTGAGCTACATCAGAACTTGATTTGTTTAGAAAAAGGGTTGTCTTGCGTAGGCAAATTTTACTTCTGAGAGGCATGGCTTCCAGCTCCCTCCTCCCACCATCCTTACCACAAACATAGATAATATTCCCCCCCTACAGTTTAGGGGAAAAAAGGAATTTACTAGGCTTACTAACAGAGCATAGGGTGGAGAAGGGGGTAATTTACAAAGGTGTTGACAAGCATGGGCTGCCTTCCTACATCCTGGCCAGGAACTCCTGATCCTTGGTGGTAGCCCAAGATGATGAAGGTCACTCACTTTCTCTGGCTTCCCCTCTCCATATCCTTACTCCCTCCACCTCATGTAGATAAGGCCAACTGATTGGGTGGAGGACCATGAGTGATTCCCTGGAGGAGAAGGCATCTGTCCACTGCTTGCCAGTCCAGCTTGCCACAAGGAGGACAAGCTCATCCAACATCTTGTGCAGCCCCAGATAATCCAGCAACCACAGAATTCCTTCCTCCACCTCTAGAGAGCTACAGTTATTGTTTTTTAACCATAACAATACTTATATGAAAGGACATTTTTTACAGGTGTATATGTGCATTCATTTTCATAGAGATTTAGTGTCACTGCCAGTAGTAAAATGATGGGTAAATGAAGAATATGATGACTATATTAATTAAATCTTAATATGTGTGAATTTATAAAATTGTATACAAATTTTAAATATCAATAGAGAAATCATAGGAAGGGAAAATCACTTGAAAAATTAGATTTTATAAATGTGAAATTATCTTTATTGAAAAAAGATAAATAGGAGAATGATTTTATAGACAATGAGACATGGGTGCCAATGAGATTAGGTCATTAAAATCAATCTGGGACTTTCTGCTGAATTCAAGCACCACTGGGTTAGAACTCTCCCACCCAATGCCATATTATGGTTGGTCAGGAGCCAGTGTTCCTCAGAGGCTGGGATCTGTCTCATTAATCAGGAGCATATTGTTCTCATGAGTCTTTGCACTCATGAATAGTGGTCTGGATAAATTGTTACCAGCAGATTACAAAAGAGGGGCCTATGGGTGCAAGAATTAAGATGGTTGTAAAAGAGTAAGAACTGATATGAGCCAGAGGTCCAGGATGAGTCCTGAAAACATTTGTCCTGTGATTCTGATTCCAGTTGTCTACTTTTTGAAAAAATTCAGCTAGGTTCTTCCTATGTCTCTGCCAAGACCAGACTAATTTGCACAAAAACAGTATTCCTCTTTTAAGACAGGAAAAACCCACCTTTTTAGCTTTCAGGAAATCTTATGCCTCCTATATTGGACTGTGACTGCTCCTAAGTAGCGTACTTGTTGCTGGATTCCTATCAGGGCTTGGGAGACTTCATGAAGGCTTTCTTGTAAGTTTGAGATAAGTCATGGTATCATGTTACTATATGGCTAACCCTCCCCCATTCCTGTGCCAATAGCTGCTGTTACCGCTGAGGCCACAAATATGTAGATTCTATTTAATGGTTGAGTGGCCGATTAAAGACTGGAAAGCTCTGGATATTGGGGGCCATGTCTCCATTTGGGCATAAGTCTACTAGATTTGAGTAAGAGTTTGAGACCCCCAGGAGGTCTTAAGAGGAGTTGGCATCAGCCCAGGGCTGACTCTGGAGAGAATTGCTCCTCTGGAATGAGCTGGAGACCTGAGATCATATCTTATTAAAATGTGGCGGCGTGTTGTCCTTGTGGTCCTGGAACAGACATTAATCAGGAAAAAAATGAATCCAAGAGCTGAGACCCGATTGGTAAGTGGCAGCGGGGCACTGGCAAAGTCTGGAGTCCCCGGAGGGGACTGAGTCAATATGAGCCCTGTGCTATGTGGCTGAGGTAGGGGAGCTGGGCTTTAGGCTAAGTGACAAGCTGACTTTAGAATGAATGAATATCTCATTCTATTTGAAACCTCAGCACATTTTGTTTTGATTTTGCTTCTTTATTTAAGGTACTATTAAAATATGACCTCATTTATTTTATGAGTTTGCATACTCATTTGATAGTCAGATTTTTAGAAATTTATTTTTATTTTTTATTTTATGTATATGTGTGTATTGCCTGCATGTAGGTAAGAGTAGGCTGTGCAATGCTCATGGAGGAAAGAGGAGGCTGTCAGATCCCCTGGAACTGGAGTTGCAGACAGTTGCTAGCAGCCCTATAGGTGCTGGGATTCGAACCTGGGTCTTCTGCAAGAACAGCCAGTGTTCTTAACCACTGAGCCATCGCTCCAGCCCTCAGTCAGATATTTTAAACTTTCACCTTTCTCTGTAAAAGATTTAAGAATTGTCTGTTGAAACATTCAGTAGACTATAAAATGATTTAGGGTGATATTATTTAAGCATCGATAAATTGTACACAACAATAAATAGTATCAATGATTTACTTATCTCTGTTCAACTTATATTTTGCAGAAAAGCAGACCATTTCTGAATGAATATGAAATCTGATGAAATTCACTGTGTATTTTTTGTCATAAGAAGAATATACAATATTGGAGCTAGAGAGATGGCTTAGTGGTTAAGCAAGCTTCCTGGCGCTGCACAGGACTGGCGTCCAGTTCCCAGCACCCATATCAGGTGGCTCACAACTGCCGGGAACTTTAGTTCCTAGGAATCCATCATGCTTCCTGGCCTCTGCGGGCACTTGCACACATTTGTGCAAACACACGGACACATACACAAATAAAAATAAATTAAATTAAAAAATATAAAATACAATTTACAATATTTATCTCTGCATACCCGTATACATTTAGTTTTTATATTCCAATAGACTATTATAGTCACGTTTGATTATCTAGAAATTGTTTTATTTCATGGTAATATAACAAAATATTTCATGTCTTTCCATGTCCTACATAAAGCCCCATTAATTTTAAATTGTAAGAAAATGGAAAAAACGCAGTGGCTATTAGAATACGTGGTGAATGAAAGAAGCCCAGCAGGCAGCCCTTAAACCTGGATACATTATCACAGGACACTGTAGCTACAAATAAAGTGCAGTCCAACTCCTAGCAGTACGTTTGCTTTCTCTAATTTCTGTCATCAAGTTGATCCTCGTAATTCTAAACCAAAATTTGTACATTGTCATATGGAAAATTGTGAGGAAAAGCAGAAGAGAGAGCAGATCTCCTTTGTCAGAGCAGTTATTTTATGCAAGAAAAAACCAAACAGGTTGGATGGAGGCCTCAGTGACTGAGAGAGCTTGCTGTGCTTGCTGAAAACCTGGGTTCAGTTTCCAGCATCCGCATCAGGTAGCTCACCCCTGCCTGTAACTCCAGTTCCTTGGGACCCAACACACCTTCTTCATGCAGCTGAGGGCACTGGGCACAAATGTTGCATATAAAGTCATACAGGCACATACACATACACATGATCACCCTTCACTTGCCAACCTCATAATATGATCACAAGTGATTAAATATGATCCACAGAAGTGTGTCAATCATAGAACAAGAACGGTACTTGTAGGCAAAGAACAAAACTTACACAGCACACACACAATGACAGCAGTCCACTGTATCGATAAGGGTGCCACGGGAACATTTTAAATCTTCTTTTATGTATCATACACTCTCTGCTGCATGTTTGCATTTTGATAAATATGTTGCACCATACAAAAGAATTTCATTTTTATAATTAATTTCTTGCCTTCAGTGAAGCCAGAATTATATACAGCATTGTTCACAGATGAATCTATAGCATTTTTGGCATTTGACTAAAAAATACCTAGTATATATTGTATATTGAATCTTTTTCTACTAGATAAATGGTCTAAAACAAAGGACAGCAGATTCTAATCCAATCTTGATTTATATAACACATCAATGCAGCTTGTAAGGCAGAAAAACACATATCTTTTTCCATGTCCTTTGTAGGGCACATTTTACATCTTTATTTCTCAAACTATACATCAAGGGATTCAACATGGGGATAACCATGGTATAAAAGGAGTGACTTGATTTAGGCTGCATGTACATAAATAATAAAGTCCCATAGAAGACTGTGACCACTGAGAGGTGGGACCCACAGGTGGAGAAAGCCTTGCGCCTGCCCTCAGCAGAGTTCATCCTGAGAACATCTATGAGGATGAGCAGGTAGAACACAAGGTCGACCAGGAGAGAGGACATCAAATTAAAAGCAGCCAAGATCAGAATGATCACTTCTATTTCCTGAGTGTCTGAGCAGATCAGTGGTAATAAGGGGATGCTGTCACAATAGAAGTGGTTAATGACATTATACCCACAAAAGGATAAGGTGAAAATCTTTATGGTGACTAAAAGAGCCACAAATGTACTATAGAGATAAGGAATTGCCACCATCACCTGACATAATCTTTGAGACCTGATGAAAGTATAGAGCAGAGGGTTACAAATGGCCACATTGCGATCATAAGACATCGCAGAGAGAAGAAACAGTTCACAAGCAATGAACACAAGAAAGACAGCTAGCTGTGCTACACAAAGTTTAAAGGATATTGTATTTTGATCCACAACAAAATTTACTAATATTTTGGGTCCCACAGATGTAGAATAACCAAGATCTGTGAGAGCCAGGTGTCTGAGAAAGAAGTACATGGGGGTTTGCAGCCGGCAGTCCACCGTGGAGAGGACGATCATGCCTAAGTTGGCCACCGTTGAGATCAGATAGATGAAGGGTAACAGCCTAAATAATGGGGCCTGCAGCTCAGGGCGGTCAGCGATGCCCATCAGGATGAATTCAGTCACCACTGTCAAACTGTATTTCTCCATCTGTGCTTATCACAAAATATGTTCTGTATAGACACAATAGTGAAGTAAGTGCATTTTAAGTTTTATCAAATGGGGGATTAAGTGAAGCTAGTATGTGCTTAAGTAAGGCTTATGTAAGGGCTTAGATTTCAAATATGGAGTATATAAAGATAAATACTAGGATCATTTTTTCAGTATCTAGAGAAATTTTGCTTGCCTCAATTGGAGGGTGATCTATGACTAGCATCTAATAGTTAATAGCTAATCAGGTACATATGTCTAATACACAACCCCAAATCCTAATCATATCAGTAACAGCCTTGCTTGCGGATGAGAAATCCTGACATAAAACAGATCAGTAAGTATGTAGGTAGACTCATGTAATTGATCAGTCAATAGAAAATGGATACAGGGGTAGATGACATATATATATCATAGATGGATAGAGAGATTAATAAATAGATCCAGATTATAACTATATTTATATGAAGTATAGAAAATCCTTAAGATTCATAAAACCTTTCATACTAAGTAAATGGGTAAGTAGTCTTTACATTGTCTAGTGACCATTTACATAATTAAAACTAATGAATAAATTGAAATTCACTTAATAAACTATATAATTCATTTGCCAATAATCTACTAGGATGTTATAATGCCATATTCTAAAAATGCATATAATGTCCTGCTTCAAAATATAGTCCTGAACAGCCACATACTTACAGGTGGAAGAGCTAAGTCTGTTGGATACTAAGTAAATGTGTCAATAAAAACTTTATGAAACCACATTAAAAATTACATAAAGAAAGAGGGCAAATGTATATGCACATTGATATAGTCTCTATTACATCAATTACATTAATATTGTATGCAGAGATTACTTCCTAAAAATTATTTAACTAAAACTATTTACATACACCAATTGAAATATTTTTCCATGATTGAGAATGTCCAAGGCTGATTAATTGATGTGTTCATACTATCTATTTAAAAATTTTAAATAGCATGTACAATTCTTATTTTGAAGTGCTGGCCGTAACTTACTTGAATCAAGCTCCGTCACATATGCTTGTGCTCATTCTTCTGCACAGCGGCTTTGCTTCTTTGTTTGGGCCAACAAGATGAATAAGTTAGGAACAAGGAAAGCCAAATCCGTACAACTCACCCCAAACTGCATCTATTCCCCCGGACTCAATGGCTAACATTGAATAGAAGCTGCTATTCTAAATTATTTCTCTTATCTTTTTCCTAACAGTTTTGCATCATTCTTGAGATAGCATCTCCCTGTGTTTTCCAGGCTCATCTTGAACACTGAATTCTTTTCCCACATCTTCCAAATTTCCAGAATTAAGGAGTGAGTCTCCGTTCCTTGTCCTCATAGCAGCTTTAGTTATATTTCATGGAAGTTAGTAATATTAACTTTTCTCTTAGCCGTGCCATGTCCTTGAAATAAAGACCTTCATGTTGTATGACAGATGTATGTTATAAGCACACGAGGAAGCATGAGGGAATAACTGCTTAAGAGATAGAGACAATTGTTATTCATGAGTCACAATGAAAATATGATTAGATGCAGGTGGATCTCTGTGAGTTCAAGGCCAGCCTGGTCTACATAGTGAGTTCCAGGACAGCTGGGGCTACAGGGAGACCCTGTCTCAAAAAGACCAAAAGAAAGAAAAAGAAAGAAAATATGATTAAATGGGTATTATATTTGAAAGAGAAATTTTTAAAGTTTGACATTTTTATAAAAATTTTTGTAAAATTCTACAATTTTTGTTCTAACACAGTCAGAAATACCCTTGTAATAATATTTACATGGATTCATGTGATGTAAACTCTAGTGAAGTAAATCCAAAATGACTTCTTCCAAATATGGTGCAGCACATAATGCAGAAAAGCAAATGTAAAAGGTAAAATGTAAGGATGTGTGTGTCTAACAACACAGCCTGAAAGGGTGGGTTATAAGGGTGGTAGCATTTAAGTGGAGGTCATTATTACTGTAAAAATCATGTACACCAATGTGTCCCCAATTAAAAAGAGAAAGAGAAATGACTGTCTACAGTAAAACTGCAGTGAAAGAACTTTATGACTAAGCAAAACAGGAACAAAGCACATAATTTTGCAACATTAAATTAAATACAAAGGTGACTATGTTTTTTAAAATTTTATAAAACCTTATTTACATTGCTGTAGCTACATGATTATCTGCCAAATGCAAGCGCCTTGCCTACATTAGGAAAATAAAGAGCTACTGAGATGATAACATTAGTTTTCTTCAAGAAATCCAATAAAATACTTCAAATACTATTTTTCTTGTTTATATTATAGTTGGTTAATTACAGGAAAAGTTAAAAAGACAAACATGGTAATTAAGAAATTTCTTAAGATAAAGACTGATTAAAAATATTTATCTCTCCAGATTTGAATTTCAATAGCACGAAACAAATTGCTTTTGTATAGTTTACTATCTTGACTGAAGACTGTAATTTGGTCAATATTCTGACAAAAATTTCTTAGAACACATTGTGAAATAAAAATCGCTTTTCTATCATGAAGAAACTGGGTCCTTAAAACTTCCTAATCCTCACATAACATTCTCTCCTCAATATGAAGCAGAAACTGCATTTTTTTGTTCAAGAAATTAGGATATATATATATATGTTATATATCCATATATATATAATTCTTAGATTTTAAGTTGCTTTTAAAGTCCTTAAAACAGTCTTGAATCACTACAGATCTGAGTATTTAAATGCATATTAAAACAAGACACAATCCACCCTGCTTTAAATTCTGATACGCTTCATTTATTTCTCTTCCTACTTCCTGTTTTCATTAGCTGTAATATACACAAGATCACACTGCCAAATACCAAAAACAATCGCTCAATCTTTAGAGAATAAAAAGAAAGGAAACAGAATCTGTCGCTCAAGATGACCATGAACTGTGTCCTCTTGAATCAACATTTTCTGTCCTGGGATCCTAGGCATGTACCACTACGCCACACTTAAAATAATTTTTTTTTTGGTCTTTTTGAGACAGGGTCTCTCTGTAGCCCCAGCTGTCCTGGAACTCACTATGTAGGCCAGGCTGGCCTTGAACTCACAGAGATCTGCCTGCCTCTGCCTCCCAAATGCTGGGATTAAAGGCGTGCGCCACCATGCCTGGCTAATTTTTTATCACATAAACACAATGCATATTTCCTTTGTGTTTATTTTATAAACTTATTTGAAAGCATTCACAAACTAATGTGAAAAAATTAGAAAGGAGAATGGCCCTATTCCTGCTCAGAAATCATGGAAACAGGATCACAGATAGCCCTCATGCCGGCAAAGCCTGAGTAAATTCTAACCCTTTCTGTGATATCTGTGATGTCTGGCACTTTGTGGTCCTTCTCTCTTACCTGTACTAAGTGTCTGAAAACTCTCTTCAGATTCTCCCATTTGTTTCTTGGCATGGGGTGTTAAAGGACAATTTATGGATTTTTTTTTTTTACCTTTGCAGGTTTCCCTGAGGAGTTGCCAAGCAATTTATTATTAGCCTCAAAACCCTTGCATGATGTTTAATGAAATGCATGGAGATTGTCAACTAATTGACAGAAAACATTTTTATTGCATTGTGATTTTGTATATTAACTGATGACTTGAGTCAGCTCTCCAACTTCTGGGTTTTATCCAAAGTACTGGTAAAAAAGACCTCAGGAAGATTAAGATATGCACTACAGAATAATTCAAAATGTCGTGATGTACCATTTGACCTAAACACATTTATGGATAGATGGGAAATTACAATGTGGTAGAAAGGCAGAATGAGCTTAAAGTTTGCCTTGATGGGACTGGAGAGATAGCACAGCGGTTAAGAGCACTGGCTGCTCTTGAAAAGGACCCCAGTTTGATTCCTGGCACACACATGGTGGCTAAAAATGGTCTGTAACTCCAGTTCCAGGGGATTCAATGCCCTCTTAAGACCCCTGCAGGCATTGCAGGACACAGTTATGTTTATATATATGCAGGCAATATACTCATACACAGAAAATAAAAATGATAAATAAAATATTTTAAAGATTAGCCTTGAAATTACACAGATTAGTGTGAGATACTAAGAGTGGACCTAGAGAACATGATATTAATGAGATAAACTTTTCACAGCAGGGTGAATATTACATGTTCCCACTTTGTTGAATTATGGAAAACACCCAAACTTATAGAATCAGAAATTAAAAAGAAATGGATAAGGTTTGGGAGCAGTAAGGAGATGCAAATAATGACTTCACATCTTCTTTTCACAAAATGAAAGGGTTCAAGATAGTGTTGAAAACATACTGCATCTGTATTTAACAGTACTGGACTGGACACTGTAAACCTCCGATCTAAGCACAAATGAATTTAATAAAAACAATTAGGTCTCAACACATAACACATCGACTTTTAATCTTGAAAACATCATATTAATTCAAAGTAACAAGGGAAAAAGTCCACCCTTATGAATCCTCTATGAAGTATTCATAGTGTAACGAGGTGTAAAGATGGACATCAAATGAGAAGGGGCTAAAGGAAATGAGAAATGGGAGGGCTCACATAATGTGTATGTTGTAACAGAAACATCTTACAACTGCATACAGGTGGGGGTATTCCAACATTGTGGATGTGCTAACAGCCAATTAACAGTTTACTTTTGATTTAAAATAATCAGTATTGAGGCAAGTGAACTTTACCTGAGTAAACTGAGGGGGGAGGGAGGTGAGACAGAGAGACAGAAAGGAGAGATAAATAAAGCTTAGGTGATATGAAAAACCAGATGGAAATACGTTAGCTCAAAAACCTTCTGAAAAAATACACATACAATATCTGAACATGAGTGCATGTGTATACCTGAAGGCTATATAATAAGAAACACAGTGCCAGACAGGAGAAACCTCTCTTCGAGTTGTTGGTCAGGGTAGTCCATGAGACTCCCCAAATAGCACAGGCTATTGCCACAACCCTTGATTACCTCCTAGAACTTGAAGGTAAGACCTAGTG